TGTGGTGGCAGGTGCCTATAATCCCAGCTACCTGGAAGGCTGAAGCAGGATAATGACTTGAACCTGGGAAGCGGAGACTGCAGTGAGCCAAGATGGTTCCACTGCACTCCAGCCTGGGTGACAGAGTGAGACTCTTTCTCAAAAAAGAAAAAAAAAAGGGAAATGGAGCTAAGCATACTATTTTAAAAGAGATGATCATAAAGTAAAAAGAATGACAGACCAGAATATAAATAACACTAACATGGAAAGTATATGCCTGCCTCCTCGTAGGTCTGAATAGAAACTAAAACCTTTAACATTCCCATCATTTTTTTGTACAATATAAATTGATGTTCTCCTCCTCCCAGCATGGGTCAGTTGTGATAAGAGTTGCCTACTTATATCTCTGAGCATTACCCCATATATAGTAGTTAAAAGTATGTGTGAAATAACTTTATTTTAAATATAAAGACTTTTTAGTTAAGAAAACTTAAAAATATAAGTCTCTTTTTCAAGCTTTACAATTATCTAAGGTACATTTGTGAGGGGCTATAAATTTTGAAAATGAACATATTCATTAGAATATTATTAAAGTCAAGCAACAAATTTTACTCAAGTTATCTATTTGAACATATTATAAAATAGCTGCCTATTTAGAACAACTGATAAACACATTCTGATTATGGTATTTGTAAAAGAATCTTCATAGGTTGTCTACCAAGCTTAATGTTAATACAAGTTTTTATTGAGAACAAAGTTCCTTTAAATATTTTGCATCTACAATTGGACTCTAAAACACAGATTTGGTTCTTTCTTTTGAAAGCAATACTTATCCAGATGATAATGGAGGAAAAAACTAATGAATCTAATTGAAAGTAAAAACTGGCTCTTTGTAACTTCTCTTCAGGGTATTCTACAATCTTACTGAACACAGCATGGAAACATCAAATCGATATTATTTGATAAGCATAATCTCTTTTTGATATAAGAAAATAATTTTTTCTGAAATAAGTATATATATTTTAAAGGCATAACAGTTGGTTATGAGTAAATTATTGTTTAATTAAATACTGAACTGTTATTTCTCACCATTTTTCACAGACATTAATATTTTCTCTTGGAAACAAATGCAATATGTTAAAAAATATCTAATAACTCTTTCCAACAGTCAAATTATATTTAATACTTCTTTAGACTGGTAAAATATAACATATTCTTACCAAAATCTTGTTTGTTTGTCTATAGGTAGGTATAAATGCATATATATCTTGAAAGTTTCTAAAGTACAGGAATTTATTTTTATATACAATCTTTTTTTATTGCATTTTAGGTTTTGGGGTACATGTGCAGAACATGCAAGATAGTTGCATAGGTACACACGTGGCAGTGTGATTGGCTGTCTTCTTTCCCTTCACCCACATCTGGCATTTCTCCCCATGCTATCCCTCCCCAGCTCCCCCCCTTCGCTGTCCCTCCCCTATTCCCCCCAATAGACCCCAGTGTGTAGTGCTCCCCTCCCTGTTTCCATGTGTTGTCATTGTTAATCACCCACCTATGAGTGAGAATATGCAGTATTTCATTTTATGTTCTTGTGTCAGTTTGCTGAGAATGATGTTCTCCAGATTCATCCATGTCCCTACAAAGGACACGTACTCATCGTTTTTGATTGCTGCATAATATTCCATGGTGTATATGTGCCACATTTTCCCAGTCCAGTCTATCATCGATGGGCATTTGGGTTGGTTCCAGGTCTTTGCTATTATAAACAGTACTGCAATGAACATTCGTGTGCATGTGTCCTTATAGTAGAACGATTTATAGTCCTTTGAATATATACCCAGTAATGGGATTGCTGGGTCAAATGGAATTTCTATTTCTAGGTCCTTGAGGAATCACCACACTGTCTTCCACAATGGTTGAACTAATTTACACTCCCACCAGTAGTGTAAAAGCGTTCCCATTTATCCACATCCTCTCCAGCATCTGTTGTCTCCAGATTTTTTAATGATCGCCATTCTAACTGGCGTGAGATGGTATCTCAATGTGGTTTTTATTTGCATTTCTCTAATGACCAGTGATGATGAGCATTTTTTCATATGTTTGTTGGCCACATAAATATCTTCTTTTGTAAAGTGTCTGTTCATATCCTTTGCCCATTTTTGAATGTGCTTGTTTGTTTTTTTCCTGTAAATCTGTTTGAGTTCTTTATAAATTCTGTGTATCAGCCCTTTGTCAGATGGGTAAACTGCAAAAATTTTTTTCCCATTCTGTTGGTTGCCGATTCACCCTAGTGGCTGTTTCTTTTGCCGTGCAGAAGCTGTGCAGTTTTATTAGGTCCCATTTGTCTATTTTGGCTTTTGCTGCCAATGCTTTTCATGTTTTTGTCATGAAGTCCTTGCCTACTCCTATGTCCTGAATGGTTTTGCCTAGATTTTCTTCTAGGGTTTTTATGGTGCCAGGTCTTATGTTTAAGTCTTTAATCCATCTGGAGTTAATTTTAGTGTAAAGTGTCAGGAAGGGGTCCAGTTTCTCCTTTCTGTACATAGCTAGACAGTTTTCCCAACACCATTTATTAAACAGGGAATCCTTTCCCCATTGCTTGTTTTTGTCAGGTTTATCAAAGATTGTATGGTTGTAGATATGTTGTGTTGGCTCCAATGCCTCTGTTCTGTCATCTGCAAATGGAGACAATTTGACTTCCTGTTTTCCTAATCAAATGCCTTTTATTTTTTTTTTTTCTTGCCTGAATGCCCTGGCCAGAACTTCCAATACCATGTTGAATAGGAGTGTTGAGTGAGGGCATTCTTGTCTTATGTCAGTTTTTTATGAGAATGCTTTCAGTTTTGCTCATTCAATATGACATTGGCTGTGAGTTTGTGATAAATAGCTCTTATTATTCTGAGGTATGTTACATCAGTACATATTTTATTGAGAGTTTTTAGCATAAAGCACTGTTTAATTTTGTCAAAGGCCTTCTCTGCATCTATTGAGATAATCATGTGGTTTTTGTCTTTGGTTCTCTTTATGTGGTGTATTACAATTATAGACTTGCATATGTTGAACCAGCCTTGCATCCATCAGAATGAAGCCTACTGATCATGATGGATAAGCCTCTTGATGTGCTGTTGCAATCAGTTTGCCAGCATTTTATTGAAGATTATTGCATCTATATTCATCCTGGATATTGGCCTGAAGTTTTTTTTTTTTAGTTGTGTCTCTGCCAGGTTTTGGTATCAGGATGATGTTAGTCTCATAAAATGAGTTAGGAAGGATTCCCACTTTTTGTATTGTTTGGAATACTTTAGGAGGGAATGGTATCAGCTCCTCTTTGTACCTTTGGTAGAATTCAGCTGTAAACTTGTCTGGTCCCGGAATTTTTTGTTTGTTTGTTTGGTAGGCTATTCATTGCTGCCTCAATTTCAGGCCTTTGATTGAGGGATTCAACTTCTTACCTGGTTTAATCTTGGAAGGGTGTGAGTGTCCATGAATTTATGCTTTTGTTTTAGATTTACTGGTTTATTTGCATAGAGGTGTTTGTACTAATCTCTGATGGTAGTGTGTATTTCTATGGAATTCGTGGTGATATCCCCTTTATTATTTTTTATTGCATCTATTTGATTTTTCTCACTTTTCTTTTTATTAGTCTGACTAGCAATCTATTTTGTTGATCTTTTCAAAACACCAGTTCCTGGATTTATTGATTTTTTGAAGGGATTTTTGAGTCTCTATGTCCTTCAGTTCTGCTCTGATCTTAGTTATTTCTTCTCTTCTACTAGCTTTTGAATTTGTTTCATCTTGCTCCTCTAGTTCTTTTAATCATGACATTAGAGTGTCAATTTTAGATCTTTCCCCATTTCTCTTATGGGCATTTAGTGCTATAAATTACCGTCTAGACACTGCTTTAAATGTTTCCCAGAGATTCTGGTACATTGTGTCCATTCTCATTGGTTTTGAAGGACACTTTTATTTCTATTTTCATTTCATTTTTTATCCAGTAGTCATTCAGGAGCAGGTTGTTCAGTTTCCATGTGGTTGTGCGGTTTTGAGTGTTTCTTAATTCTGAGTTCTAATTTGATTACACTGTGGTCTGAGAGACTATTTGTTGTGATTTCCATTCTTTTGCATTTGCTGAGGAGTGTTTTACTTCCAATTATGTGGTCAATTTTAGAATAAGTGCGATGTGGTGCTGAGAAGAATGTATATTCTGTGGATTTGGGATGGAGAGTTCTGTAGATATCTATTAGTTCCATTTGGTCCAGATCTGAGTCCAAGTCCTGGATATCCTTGTTAATTTTCTGTCTCATTGATTTGTCTAATATTGACAATGGGGTTATATACAATCATTTATTATAGATAATGTAACTAATTAGATTTAGAACCACAATACAAACTTTAGAAAGACTTTCTAGTAGCCTTAATGTCCAGCTGAGAAAACAATATGGCACTGTTAAAATGTTTTGAAAGTTTATCATTTAAAAGAACATTCAGTTTGATTAGAATTTTCTGTATTATTTAATGTAATGTTTTAAATTTAGTGGAAATAGCCAAAATATGAGGGACAAGGTACTGCTATTGAGACTACTTTTCCTTTACCATTTTTTCTCACTTTTCTTTAGCAGTTTTTAAAGTGTTGTTCCCCTCAGCATCATCTTGGAAATTATTAGAAATGCAGATTTTCTGACCCCTCATCTGACCTGCTGAAAGAGAGAATCTGGAGATGGGACCCAGAAATCTGTGTTTACACACAGATAAAATGATTCTCTAAAATAGTGGTTGTCAAATTTCAACATGCATTAGAGTTGCAGACCATCTGTGTAACTCTAATGCATGTTAAAATTTGGGAATCACTATTTTAGAGCAATCATTTTATCATTTCTTCCATGTACATTTATGTATCTGTGTATGCATGTATGTATGTATATATATATAATTTGCAGGACTCTTGTCCATGGAGAATCATTATTTTATTTGCATATAATACCTTTTAAAGAACATTATTCTTGCTTTTATTATCCTTGCAGTTTTTCTCATTGGTTGACGACTTTAATCAGTGATTATATGAAAATTATTATCTTCACTGAAGGATCTACTGAATAATCATTTTAACTCAACTATATCGCATTATTGAGAGCAATCCTTTTAATGTAAGTATGACGTCTTTTCTCATTTTCTTTGAAAATATAGTTATAATATTAACATAGACAGGTAAAGAGTAGCTGACTTCCCATTTTTCCCATAGTCAGATGGACCATAGAGTTTTGATAGGCAGAGCAATTACATTTTTTATTGTATAAACATCCATTCATATTCCTTTGTGAAATCTTGGCAAATTGCTTGCTTTGCTTTGCATTTCTAGATAAACTTATTTATTTTTATTTTTATTTTTATCTGCATTTCTTGATAAATTTAACCAGTTGAATATTAGCAACCACTTTTTTTATTTTGGTGTTTACTATAGTCAGATACACTGCAGGCATACTAATAGGTTAAGCTAGATGGGAAAAGTGTTAGCTTAAAGGATAAGTCAATTGGGAGAAGACGAGCCAAAGCAAGATTTAAATATTGTCCAATGTGAACTACTGCTCATCTCCACATTTTGAAAACAATAATTAGAAATTTCATGTTCTGTTCTCCTGTTGAGGTTTATGTGGAAAATTATTGAAGAGTTTCTGCCTTGAATTTTGACTTTTAACTCATGAAAATGCAGGTTTATAGTTCATACTCAATAAACACACTTTCAGTAACTAAGAGCTGGATTGTATTCAAGATAGTATTAAAAGCAATGTGGGTGGCTTTCTTGCAGTTTTTCCACCTTTACCATGTCATTCATCCAAAGTTTCTATTTGGCCATAATTTGTGGTTCAGAAAATTCAAATTAAGTTTCCCCACAAGTTTTCTAATGTGCTATTTTGATATATGGTGATTGACTCTACTATATGTAGTTAAGTATTGAGTCATAATCTACATATTAAGATAAGTCCTTCTATTTAATGCCCTAATTGAAAATTGTACTAATAACATTACATTCATACTGTACGTTATATGAAAATGAGCAGTAGCTGTGCCAAAAGAAGCATAACATTATTATCAAATCTTGATTATTCATGTTAGTAGAGATCAGCATTGTTGGAGGTATGTATAGATTCCAGATCAGTACAAATCACTTATATTTACTCCACTGTGACATATATTGTATTGTATTTTGTGCTTATGTATATCTATATGTGTATATATGTTTGAATGTATGTTTATTACAAAGTATAATTATGCTTTTCTCTAGGGCTAATTTTAGTGATATGATAACTCAAAATTTGTCAGTTAGTAATGATATGTCAATAAAATAGACTTGATTTTGAAAACAAGCTTACATAGTTATGGCTAGAGAAAGGTTGAAAAATGCCCTAACTGGTTATTAAAGCCCTGATTTTGACAATTGAATAATATGTTGCTCATGCAAGGACACCATTTCCCCACATCCTAGCAAGTTGTCTTCACTGTTTCTGTAATTATGAAGAAATATTAGGCCTAAACTATTTTATATATGTTTATATGTGTGTTTATATATTTTATATGTGTGTTTATATATTTTATATGTGTGTTTCTAAAGCTCATAGATAATTGAAAAGACTAGAATGTCTGGAAATCACTAGCATGGATAATTAAGTGGCAATTGGAAAGTTGCACACCAATGTACAGCTTTTCTACACCATTTTCCTGGTGTAAAGTGAAGTTAAATTTTGGGCCTCTTTCTTATCTTTACAAGATCTTACTATGATTCTGTTTGGGAAACAAAATCCTGTCTTCTCCCTTCCCTGATGTATAGAAACAGATCCAAGGTGTTAAGTAGGGCTTCCTATTTCTTGGTTTGAAGGATAACTTTTTGATCAAGGACTTCTGCATTTTGGCAATTATTTATTTTAGTTATGTCTCTGGATGGTTTTATTTGTATATAAAGGTCCTGTCAACTTTTGTTTGGGGAAGAATTTGTAATTTCAGTAATGTTCCATTATTTTCAGATCAGAAATGATTTACTTGGAGATTGTAGGTCTAGAATTAGACCATTGAATTTTTTAAAATTTTTACTCATATCGACAATGAAAATTTGCCATTAAGGAAAGCAAAATTTATATTTGCAGAACAAATTTGACATGAAGAAAGAATTTTAGAACTTTTGCTATATCAATTAAAATCTTACAGTTCGTGTGTGATATTTAAAAAATATTTATGAGGTAAACTGTTTTTCTTCCTAAAACCTTTACATGAAGCCAGCCAGTGTTATGAACTATTCCTTTTCTAGATTGATAATTTGAGCATAACAAACTGTTAACTTCTAATAATTCAGTGATAATTTCAGGAGAAGGAGTTAGAAAATAAGATTGCCAGTTCTCATTGCATGCTGTATTACCTCATGTAGCATCTTGCTCTTTCCAATGCCCTAAAGATACTATATAAATAATTTCATTCAATAGATGAATTACCAAATTCTGAGACCCTGATATGTAGTCAATTTGGTCCATCTATCTTTAAGGATTCATATAGATATTCACATAGCTGATCAAACTGTACAAACATTAGTTATTAAAGTGGCTTAAAACAAGCATCCAGTTTCATGGGTCATTTCATTGTATAAAAAAAGGAAATATTCAGTCTGTAATTCATATTTGTAGGGCTTATATACAGAGAAACAGAATAGGTTTAATTTTTGCTTCTCACTAACACAGATATGCTGCTGCTTAATTGACCTTTTGCAAAATGCATGGATTATCAAAGTAGTCCATGTAGATGTCAAATAAGATGATTCTTTTTGCTCTAGTTCTATTAGCGAAATATATAATACTAAATTTCAAATATTTATATACTGTTTTTATAGGCAAAATATGAATGCTGTCTACACAAATCTGTCTTAAGCTTCATATTGTCTTTTATTTCTGGAAGTCAAGAACAAATGCCTAACCCAAAACTATGTCCATGTTGCATGTTCTTTACTTTCCGAGATTTATTTGTTTAGACAGCTTATTAGCATACATGAAGATCCATGTAATCACTCAGATTGTACATAATTATATCTACTTGCATTTATACTGTTTATACACATTATTAAATGTTAACTTCCTAACATTCCCTAAACTATAAAATTATCTGAGCATATTATTATATTGCACATCTGCAATGACCATTTTTTAAAGCTCAGGAATCTTGTGGGTTTATATATTCTTATTCTCATTTCAGGTACAAATTTAGTAGTCTCATCTGTTTTTTATTTTAAATTGACATTCCTTCAACTAACATTTTTAAAGGGCTGCTGGGCATATAGAAGAGGTAATAAATTAGGTACTTTCCTTATTCTTAAGGAATTAAATGAATTTATACTCTAATAGAGGACTTCAGTAATATTCTTTAAAGTAAGAGCAGTTATATATATGAAACTGAAAAGTATATGAGAGAGTGATCTGATGCTTATGGATTCAAGATTATATATATTGTTTGTAAACACTATGCTATTAAGTCCCTTGGTTCTAACACAGAAACATGCTATCTGGTCTCACTTTAAATTCATGATAATTAATCTCAATGACAGATTATGGTTATTCTATGTATAAAATTTATATCACCGAATAAATACCATCATGATAATAGTTACATGAAAAATGATTGAAAAAGGCCACAATTTATATCAACAGTAATTACAACTCCAGAAAATTCCTGAGAAATCTGTTTGTATTCATCAATGTGTCTAACATCTTTGACATAATAATTATGGCTTTTATTTCACTTTTAGATTTAAACATGATTAAATACATTGGTAATTTCCTTCCTACTATTATCATGATTTATGTCGAGGGTAAGTCTATTTTTAAGTTTTTCATATGCTTTAGCATTGGTTTTAAGGTACTGACATATTTCCTCCTAATATTTTGCTTGCAGTCTAGGTGATCGACTGACTTCACAATGTCTGAAATTAGATTCAGCAATCTAACTTGGGATCAAGTTATAACACTGGATCAAGTGTTAGATGAAGTAATTCCAATTCATGGAAGGGGGAATTTCCCCACAATGGAGGTAAAACCAAAAGATATCATTCATGTTGTGAAAGACCGACTCATAGAGCAAGGAATTATTGTTAAAGATTCCAGATTGAATGGTTCCATAGCAAGTTACATACTTGCACGCCGTAATGGAATCAGCTATAAGGATCTGGATGTTATTTTTCGTGTTGAACTTCCCAGTTACCAAGAATTTCACATTGTTAAGGATGCAGTTCTAGGTTGTCTACCAGACTTTTTACCAAAAGGTGTTAAAAAGGAAAAGATGACCCCATATATTATGCAAGAGGCTTATGTACAGAAGTTGGTTAAGGTCTGCAATGAGCATGATCGTTGGAGTCTTATTTCCCTTTCAAATAACACTGGGAAGAATTTAGAAATGAAATTTGTGAGTTCACTCAAACGCCAATTTGAATTTAGTGTAGATTCCTTTCAAATTATTTTGGATCCCATGTTAGACTTCTACAGTGACAAAAATGCCAAGCTAACCAAAGAGTGCTGTCCTGCTGTAATAGCTGAAAGCATGTATGGAGACTTCCAGGAAGCAATGACACATTTGCAATACAAGCTTATATCTACCAGAAAACCTGAAGAAATTAGAGGTGGTGGCCTTTTGAAGTACTGCAACTTGCTGGTTCATGACTTCAAGCCAGTTTGTGTACTTGAAATGAAAAAACTGGAGCGTTACATGTGCTCTAGATTCTTTATTGATTTTCCTGATGAAGTAGAACAGCAAAAGAAAATTGAATCATATCTCCACAACCATTTTATAGGTGAAGAAAAGAGCAAGTATGACTACCTTATGACCTTGCGTGGAGTTGTGAATGAAAGCACTGTTTGCCTCATGGGTAATGAAAAAAGACGGGCTCTTAACCTAATTACCATGACTGCTTTAAAAGTACTTGGTGAACAGAATTTTTTGCCCAGTACAGAAAAAGTAACTTGCTTTTATCAGCCTGCTCCACACTTTGCAGCTGAGGCAGTGTACCCTAATTATTTAACATCTGGGCCACCACCCATTTTCTTTCAGCCATACCACCCACTGCACTTTCATGGGTCAAATGGTATGGCTTAAAAAACATACATGCAACAACGGAAACTTTGCTTTAATTAAACACTTCTTAAAAGCAAGTTTCCAAATTACGTAAAATTCCAGTATATTCTTATTTTTGTACAGTTGCCAATTACTTTCAATTAACTACAGTTGATAGAATAGCAGTTACCAACTATTTTTGATCAATAAAGCCATCATAGTAAATACAGTGTCTGTAGACCAACCACTTTAAATGGTTTTCAAATGTTATTGACTGTAATAACTTTCAAATATTGTTTTCCTCTTGAAATGATTTTTAAATTTTCTGACTACTTAAGACTTTCAAATTTACTGTGAAAAATACATTATAGATGCCTGCATCTTTGACTAAAATATAAAAAAAAGATTCACGTTTTAAAATTCAGATGTACAGTGAAGTACCAAATTTTTTATATTCAATCAGTTCCTTTGCTACATTTAGTTCTTTTTTTTATATCAAATATACCATCATTGAAATTTTCAGTACTTAACAAAAATGCCTAATTTCAAAAAAATAGATTCAGAAGACATTAAAACCCTGGACTTTTCAAGATTTTTTTTTTTTTTTACAATTAGGTTGGATACAAAAATCCTACTATAGCTTAAAGGAATGCTGGGAAAAATGATTCTGTAAAGCACTGGACATTAGTAATTTGTCATCTATATGACAAAGCATTTAGTTAATTTGTGAATTTGAATAATAATATACTGCTGTGCAGCTGCTACTGTGATCAGATACAAGGTCTTCTGCCCCTTAAAATAAGTTAAAACGAATGAAAATGACCAACTCTGAATGTGAAAGCTTTCTATTATCATCTACTACAAAGAGATTCTAAATGGCAAACAGAAAAAAACAGGCAGAGGTTTATAGCCATAGCATTTACTATTTTATAGCGTATTTGAAAAATATTTTTATTGTGAGAAATATAACATTTCAGTAAGTTAAAATATTTTCATTATAACTAAATGAAGCAGATTTTCCAATTTGCCTTTACCAAAGATCGTTTTCTAACATGCCACTCAAGTGCCTACTCATGTGACTTTTTGCATAACATGATAATTTATTCAACAACTGTGTACATTTACAGTATCTCTAAATACGTACTTAATACATCAAGTATGGTGCTAGAAAATCTACCAGTGGGATTCAAATGTATTTTCTTTCCATAATGAAAATAATCCATGACTAATGTTATCTGAAGTGTTAGAAGGGGAGCTGTCTTGAATTAGTATGGAGCAGGCCACTGGAAAACTTCAGTATTTCCACTTGCTTATGAATTTTTGTGAGTATCCATTTCAGTTTATATTGGCCATCACGTTTTCTATCACAACATGGCCCAACAGTTGTATCCTGATAATTTGTCAATTATAGACTTGCTTAACCTATCTTCACTGTATTACAATATTGAACACAAGAAGTACATCAAATATGGCATTTTCAAATAACCAATATTTCTTAGGTATTTTATACCACAGCACAAGTGGCCATGAGTATATTTTTAAAGAATTATATATCACAGAATCCTGAGGCTTTAAAACACTATAGACTTACCACTTTCTTGACAATTAAAGAATTTATAAATACAATATTAAAACGAAATTTCAGCAACCTATTTACTCATTGTATTGGCTAAAGATGGTTTATACGTTCAGTATTTTCCAAAGTAGCATTTGACACTGAGTAGCAGAATTCTGAAGATTTTCAAAAACAATTTACATTGTAAATTAACAGTAAAACAAGATTGAGAGATATGTGGAACTACGATTTGGTAAACATTTTCATGAAGACCATTTTGATAAAACTTCAAACCCAACATTTTAACCTAATCTGGTATTTATTTGCTATACCATTATAAAATAAAATGTATTTAATTTTTTTAGTTGCACTGTCCATTTTGTGGTTATATTATATTCTGTAAGTTATAATGTTGAAATTTATGTAATATGCATTTGGAAATTGTATTGCTGATCCACTGTTCCATTTAATGAATATTTCTTCAGCACATATAACTGGAAGTAGCAAATCTGTTGGAATTTCAGTGTTTTGCTCTTAAGTGCTTCATTAAGGAAACAGTTTTTCTTGAATTTTGTGAGTTTTAGCAAAAAACATAGTATTCAGAATATACGCTAATTTGAAACCAATTTAGGATGAAACTGGTGATCTTTGAGCATAACACATTATACTTTCTTTTGTTTTTTGATGGAGGAATGTAAGGTGATTTTTTTTCAAAATTTTCCTATTTAAGGCAGTGCTACATTGATGTATTTGTTTTAAACAACAACAAAAACACTTTTTGTCTATATGTAACTCTTGAAAGAGCAACAGATAAACAATAGATGAACAGAACAATTTTATATATGTGTATTTTTATGACTCTTTAAACCAATCAAACCTCCCTGTCCTAGAAAAATAGTGTCATACAGATATACATGTTAGTAACTAAGAGCAAAATAACTGGTTCCTGTAAATGCATAAAATTACCTTTCTAAGAAAGATTTTCAGTGGACTCTCTTTGAAAAATGTTTTCTTCATTTCCAAATTAAACTTGATGAGTTGAATAACACAACCCAAGGAATATCATGGCAATTTATGACAATTCACTTGTTATAAATTGTATATGATAGAATTTGAACCATTCTCTAAAATGCTAATAAGTAGTCCACCTTATGTTATGAATAGACATGGTGCAGTCATACCTGGTCCTTTGGCTCAACTAGAGAACCCAGAAACATGGGATTGAATTCTTTTTTTTTTTTTTTTTTTTTTCTCTGAAACGGAGTCTTGCTGTGTCGCCAGGCTAGAGTGCAGTGGTGCGATCTCAGCTCACTGTAACTTCCACCTCCCAGGTTCAAGCAATTCTCCTGCCTCAGCCTCCCATGTAGCTGGGACTAGAGGCATGCGCCACCATGCCCAGCTAGGTTGTTTTTTTTTTAGTAGAGATGCGGTTTCACCATGTTGGCCAGGATGGTCTCGATCTCTTGACCTCGGGATCCACCCACTTCGGCCTCCCAAAGTGCTGGGATTATGGGCGTAAGCCACCACGCCCAGCCTAATTCTTTTTTTAGTATTTGTATAGCCCTGGAAATATCAGTGGGGAAGGTTAGTCTCCATGAAAATGACAGTAGAGAGTCGTATGAGTGTTCACACTAATATTCTATTCAGTAATTTCACTTTTATTATAGGAGGACCACATAAATAGAACTTGTCTATATAACAGATACTTTAATCTAAAAAATAATAATACAGATATTGTCATATTTTTAACTTGTAAAATCAGAGTTAAAAAGGACATTCTTCTATTATGTGTAGAAGACACTTCCAATATTTTTAAAATAAAAATTGATATTAGATAGCCATTACATTTATGTATTTTTATTTTAAAAGGTATTACAAATGTTCACTTCTCCCCAGTAAAATTAGATTCAACACAAACATACATTTACAGATATTTGAACAAACAGAATTGTAAATAATTTTCTCTTAAGTTTCACATGTAACCTTTTGGAGGACAAAATATTTCTACATAAATTATTTTCTTTATGGTTTTGGGAGTTTTGTAAGATAGCTTTGGGCATTGAGAATTAAATGCCTTCCAAAACCAATGGTTGTTAAGGCAGTGAACTTCAAATATCTACTGTCTTATTGCAAGATTTGCTATCAGGTAAAATGCATTTAATAATGTCAACAAGTAAAAAGTATAAATTTTAGCAGTTTTAAGGTTAAAAATTGACGTTCCTTAAAAGCACCTAAATACATATTTCAAGTGAAAGGCATTATATTCTTCTAGGTAACTAATATATATATACCAAAACAGAAACCATGCCTGGGAAGTTATCTGATTTAGAAATATAGAGGACTACATTCAACATGCTGTAAATAGATTTGTATGAATTTCATCAACTATTTACTAAGTTAGGGAAAGTACCTCTATAGGAGATACATAAATTCTAGTAATCCTGACAGTTTCCAAAAGGGGAGCATGTAATCCATTTTCCTGAGGACCAAGTTTTTAATTCCTCCCATTTTGCTTCCTCATTTTCTTAATTTAGTGAAATGATACCTCTTTGTGCTCACAATGATAAGATGCAAAAAAAAATGACATCTGGGGACAATTTAGTACTGTTTATATTACCAAAAGACAAAATGACACTATGCCATGTTTATTTATTACTGAGGGAGAGTCTGTAAATGTCATGATTATTAGGTAGAATTGTGTTTGTGGATGGTCCCATTCTAGAAAAGAAAGCTTCCGTGTGTGCATTGTAGAGAGTACAATTTTAGGAGCTCTAATATTTCAAGATTTCCCTTAACTACATACACTAACAACACTTTAATTCAGGAGCCATGATTCTAGAAATAAAAATTCACTTTTCAGTTCTTGCAGAACCCAGGAATTCCAGGCAACTAAATGTGAAGAAATGACTTAATTGGCTTACTGTATCATTTAGAGCTCAGACTGGTATAAATTATAAAATATCATTTTTTAGTAAGAAGTGGTCAAAATTATCTTAAGCATTGTTACATGATATTGTGTAATTGGGAATGTTTCAAAGATAAGTTGCATTTCAGTTTAAATTTGAATATATAAAAGTTATAAGTAAAAACATTTAAACTTTTAAGAAATGAAAGCCACATATCAATTTAGATTTTATACATAAAATTATATAAAATCATACAAATTTACACATTGAAAATTCCTACAGACTTAATAGTACATTACAATGTAAAATTTTTTCTAGATTCGTCTTCATAAAGTATAATGCAATATCATATTTACTGAATAAAGTTCAATATATTTTATGTATTTTATTCGAAAAGCTTAAATACTTTTCAATAAAGATTAGAAATAACCCAGGGGATTATTGGAATTTTCCAAATTTCAATTCATTTTAATTGGATGATGATGTTATATGAATATGTTTTCAATTTGCCTTTAAGTCCTTTGACACAGTTTAGTTGTTTAATTTATAGAAGACTGATGCTAAACTATAAGGTGACATGGAAAACTCTTACTTGATCTTTAAATAAAAGCATTTAAGTATTTTTAAAACAAATCCCATATATCTCTGGAAACTACATCCACTTTATATTAATACACTGCCACTAGATTAAATTGAAAAGTAGCATTCTCTTTGGTAGCTCTTGGCTGTTTAATCTCACATAGTCTCTGTTTAGATTGAGTGAAATCAGCGTTAGTAATTTTTCCTTCTAGTTTGAAAATTATAAGCAGCTACAACATTTTCTTTTAGGAAATTTTTATTGTGGATATGTTTATACATTCACAAAAATAGACAGCATGAGCTCTCTCCTGTACCCGTGCCTCAACTCAGGTTGTCGACATTTGCCGGTTCTGTTTTACCTATCTCAGCTCTTAAACACACACTCATACACATGCTTTTCCCCCTCTGAAGTATTTTAACGTGAATTTCAGACATATAATTGCACTGTAAATTTTTCAGCCATGTATCTCCAACTGGTAAAGTTTAAAAGAAAAATAATCACTTTATCATTATCACATCAAAGAAAATTATTAATGCCTTTATATCATCTTATACCTCAATCGATGTTCAGATTTTCCCCAAAAGGTCTCAGAAATGTCATTTTACCATTGAGTTTTATACAAATCAGTATCCAGAAAGATCCACACATTGCTTTTGGTTTATTTGTCTCTCAAGCTTCTTTCAATATTGTCAGTAGTTCCATTGCCCCTACCTCCCCCATTTCTGTTATGCCATTTGTTTTGAGAGGAGACTGGCTCTCTGCTCTGTAGAGCTCCCCAGTTCTGAATCTTTTTGCATCCTCTTGGTGCCCCCTAATACATTTTTTAAGGTTCTTCTGGGCATAGAGTTAATGTCTCAATCTACAAAACAGATGATTAAGAAGAATTAAGGCACTTATCCAGATAATTCACATCAGTAACATGTTGATGTGTAATAAACAATGAAACATATATACCTACATTATTTGTGATCCAAGTCATTGAATAACTATGTTTTCTTATGTAAAGCAGACCAAAAATAACTAATACATATGGCACAAGTTTTACAATACTATTTCACCATGTGTAAAACAATTAATCTGTTAAAGAATAAAGTGAGAAGGAAGTCTGACTTCAAATCTAAGCACATAAATGGGATCCATTGGTATTTATCTTAAAGATGTGTCTGAAGTTTCAATTAATTCAAATTCAATTATATAGAGAGAGTTAAGGAGAGTATTAGTGAAAGGAATTATGGTCACTGAGTGGAAAATGAAACAGAAATATCTAATATGTTTGCCCAGAACCCAGTGAAACTGCTGACACGATTTCCTACACTATTACATTAAGAACTACAGTTTAACATTAAGCAATTCAACTTTTTAGGAAAAGAGTGACTATAAATATAGGTTTATAAAAATTTTAGGTACCTTTTTAGCCTTCTAGTTTACATCACCAGTTCTTGTTTTGTAGTGCAAAAAATTTTAAGTATTCTAAAGAACTTATTGTGCTTCTGCAAATGAAAATTTTGAGCACTATTTCAGTAGTGAGGCATCTAAGAGATAACTGAAACTTCCAAGGTTGAGTTAAATGTCAGTCTTTGCTTTCCTGTTGACTGTATGTTTGTCAAAGCAGAATGGTTTCTTACCATGTTATTATTCATTATATAGTTCTGAGACATGTAGCTACTATTTTGGAAAATGTATTTTACTGTTAAAAAATTAATGTTATATAAGCAGTGTGGATCTTTTTGGCGAAAATTATTTTTAAAAGGATTATAATTATAACTGTACTTTTTATTATTTATCTAATATTTTTTATACCTGTTTTGTTTGTTTTGTCTTCTGCTTTTGTACCTTGTAAGGAAAAACACTGCAAAAACTCTGTTATTAGATTAAAACAAGTTTTGAAATAAAATTACTGTGAAACATACAGCAATATGCCACCTCCAAAATGGATAAATGCCTCTTATTTCAAACATCGTCAAATTGCTTACAGTGTGTTCAGAATAGTACTTCGGAAGAAAATTTACCCTGGAATTTTTACAGAAACCCCAGTGATTTCATTAGAATATGTAAACATGGAGCATGCAAAGAGACTGATCTTCAGTATATTATGGCTTTATATAATTGACTTTTACCAGGTACCAAAAGATAACACCATCCACATAGCTTAAGATAATTATCATATTCTTGTAGGTTTCTAATGCCTGAGTAGATTCTAAAAAAGACCCAAACTCCTTTAGTTCACCTCACGTGAACAACCCTTGCCTCTGGAAAAAAAAAATGCTTTTTTTCTAAACTCACTCAGTAACCACTATCCCTGAAAACATAATTGTCTTCACTGATAGCTTAATCATACAAATGGTTTGTATTCATTCATTTCCCAAACTTCATTTGATTTTACCTTGGTAAAGTTTACTTAAAGTTTTCTCCCTCTCAAATAAATGTTACCTACAGTACATTGAATAATAACATAATTGGTGATGAAATCAATAAAATAACAACATATTTCAGGGAAATCTGTCAAAACATTATGACTTAGCATTGAATCCACCACCTACACACATTAGCATCACACGTGTAGCAGAGCCAGATAGTGTATCTAGTCGGGTCTACATGTGCTGAACACATATCCAAGCAGTTATCATAAGTGATCACTCTAGTGAAAAAAATAGGTTTGAATAGAAGCTTTATTAGAAGAATAAAGAAATATGGTAAAAGAAATTGTGAAAATAGCACAACATTCAATATAGTTTGCTTGAAATTTAAACAGCTTTAGCAATAGCCTAGGAACTCTGCAGAAGATTATCTTATGTGAGATATGGAGCAATGTATCTTTTTTTTTTAACTTTATGTTCTAGGATTCATGTGCAGCATGTGCAGGTTTGTTACATAGATATACATGTGTCATGGTGGTTTGCTGCACCTATCAACCTGTCATCTAGGTTTTAAGCCCGGCATGCATTAGGTATGTGTCCTAATGCTCTCCCTCCACTTGCGCCCTACCCTCCCACAGACCCTGGTCTTTAGTGTAAATAACCTTACACTGAAGATGGTGCATTTTCTCTATATAATGTAAATCACCAGATGACTGAGGCTTGAAGTAAAAGATATGATTACAATAAAAAGCCAGGTGATCCACCAACACTATCAAGATGGTTTATTCTTTAATATGGAAATATAAATTGTGCCTTGTCTGGTACTTCAAACTGTACCAGAAAGCATAGATACTGTCCACATTTACTTAAAAATAGCCAACTGAAAATTTAGTAATAAATTGTACTAAATAACAAATTCAAGCGAAAAATATTCCTGTGTTTCTCCAATGGTGTTTTGTTTGTAACATGCCAGTGAAATCATGAGTAATATTTTTTAACTACCGTTTATTTATGTGGTATATTTTATCAAATATTGTAACATCTTTGTGTTCTGCCTATTCATCCCTACCTGCTCCCTAACCTCGGGCAACCACTGATCTTACTGTAACCATAGTTTTGCCTTCAAGAATTTCATATAGTTGAAATAATACAGTATGTGGCCTTTTCAGATTGGTTTATTTCACTAATAATCATGTATTTATGTTTTCTCCATGTCTTTTCATAAATTTATAGCTCCTTTTTAGTGAAGAATATTATGTCTAGATGTACCACAGTTTATTTATCCATTCACTTACTGAAGGCCCTGTCAGTTGCTTCCAAGATTTGGCAGCTATGAGTAAAGCTGCTGTAAACATCTGTGTGCATGTTTCAATGTCGCCATGTTTTCAACTCATTTGAGTAAATACTAAGGAGTATTATTCCTGGGTCCTATGATAAGAATATTTTTAAGTTTTTAAGAAACTGTCAAACTGTCTTCCAAAGTGGCTTGGCTGTACCATTTTGCATTCCCATTAGCAATAAATGAGAGTTACTGTTACTACACAGCCTCAGCTGAAATTGGGTATTTTGGATTTTTGCCATCCTAGTAAGTGTGTAGTGATATTTTTTATTGTATTAAATTACAGCCCAGGGACAAAGGAAACACTCAGCAGAAAATATTTTCTTTTCTTTAAACCTGCCACTCACACTGCATGTGCTGGTCACCCTCATCATTGTTTGTGTCAAGTGGATGGAAGGCAGCTCATTTCCAGTTTGAAGCATTCATCTTCCTATGCAAAGCTACCACATGGATAATTCAGACTTGGTATTTTTCCTGAGAGCCACCTGCCACATATTTTCATGAGGTTATAAGGACCATACACTTCCAGGCCACTTCGTCACTCCACCCCCTTCAGGACAGATACCAACAGTGCTCATTACTCATGGGTCTCAACAGTTTTCTTTGACTCCTGAGTCTTCTTGATCAGGCAAGAAGAACTCGAGCATTTTCATTGCTGGATTTTTGTGAGAGCATAAGGGACTTTTGGGCTTCTTCACTCCAAAAATCACTGAGCCCACTTCAGTGTGGTACTGGGTCTAACCAGTCCAATTATTGTGTGCTTATTTTTCCATATTTCTTGTTTTTTTTTTTTTAATTTTCTACACATTTTCTTAAGTGGTAGGTATTCTACCCCACCCTCAACAAAATAAAATTTTTAAAATACTATACTTTGGGAAAGACAAAAAGAGC